TTAAATTGACAAATGATAGAATGACATGTAGCATATGTAACCCATTATGAATCACTGATGTACATGTAGCTAGATCCTATGCTAGCGTACATAATGTCTTGTCCACCCCCTCACATGGAGGGGAACCCACTTTGAAAATATTATATTTTATTTGAAATGGGTCCCCCTTCATGTGTTGGGGTGGACACCATTATGGACACCCCATTATCTACGTGTAACATTCAACAATTGTGGCTGAACTAAGACTCGATGCACCATATAACGTTTCAAATATTGCTAAAATCTAGGGGCAGCTGTGACCAAACAAGGGCTAAATAAAATTAGATGAGTCTTTACTCTCTCAACTGATCTCAAGAAAATTTAGTTTTGACAAAGCTTCCAAGGAAGTGGAATTGATAGGTCGTCCATTCTCTGCCACGTGTCACTCAGAACAAATGCTAGCAAAGAGTTGTCTCCCACCAAGTTTTTAAGCGTCAGCTCCTAACTTAACACTAAAAATTTAATGTTCGAACCCTTTGAAGATGGAATTCAGACACTCGGAACAATTGTTGGTGTCGGACCATAAGAGGTCACGTTGAATAAAGTGTAGATTCACCCCGAAGTAATTGAGGAAGCTTAATTATTGAAAATCCTTGCATTTGAGATGAGGTCAAATCCCAGGCATTATCCCATCATAACAGTCAAAGTCGATATCATCTGAAAACATTATCATAAGTCGGAGGAATGTTCTACAATGATATCAACGACATTCATTACAACCAATTAGAGGCATGAATGTGTCACCATTGACGTCAATGTAAGCAGTTATTGCCTAAATTGCAGACAATGATGACCTAGATTACAAGTTACGACGTAGTTGTGATGGCGGTTTGACCTTGTCGAACTTCTTAACTAATGAAATTCATTTAAGTACGACAGTAACAAGTAATTCGAGACATATATTATAGCTTGACAAGTCAGAGGACGGTGAACTCATGTCTTAAAAGTCTGTATAATGAAGTAAAGCCCAACGTGGAGGTTTGGGCTAAAAGCTTTTCTCTGTAATACATAACCAAACACTATTTAATGAAATATTTCACGTTCTTTACCATTATTCCAACAATAATACACTTTTATTTCACCAAATTCCTCTTATGTAAGTTAATCTGAAATTACCATGCAAGTGTTAGTCATCATCATATTACTCCCCGTTTGGTACGGATCAAAATTAAAATTTTAATTCAAGTCAAAGTTAACAATTAATTTCAACCACATATTTCATGGATTCCACAACTTTTCAACTACATATTTCACCAAAATTTTTATCAAAATCTACTAAAAATCTGATTTTAATTCATACCAAACATGACATAACATTTTTGCGGAATAGGATAGGACATATTACAAGAATTTTTTGGTAGGTTTGGATATTTTTCTTATTGAGGTTCAAATTTGTGGACATGGCGACGTCAATTTATTTTTTTAAATGCTGATTATTTATTTTATATTTTTTCTACGTGAAATTTTATTACATAACACGCACGTATATTATGTGAAATCAATTCATTGATGGATGAACTTCTATTAAGTCTCGAGATTTGAATTAAATTTACTCTCCATTAATGAATTGATACACACATCATGGATGCTTAGTATAGATAGTACCGATGCTCAAAAATTATTTCTCTATATATATTATTAAATCTTGAATGGAGGAACTATATAAGAAAACTCGAGGCATTTTAATCGGGGAAGATAGGCAAAACTCGACCATACTACTTGTACAAAGTGACTTGACAAATTGGGTTTACAAAGTGATATGACAGGAATTAAAAAGACTTAAAAGTCATTCATCTATTCTTTAGTTAAATTAAGGTTTTCTATTCCCAATATATGATAAGTTTGATGTATTTCTCCTAATAAATGAAAAAGCCAATTATGCTCGTATTTATCAATATATTTTTTATTAAAACAATCGTTTAATATTCTAATTTTATTTTCTAATTTATTAATTTCTCTATTAATTCTAACTATATTTC